ATTACCAGAATAGTTTAAAAGTATATGACAGATGACTTTTTAGACTCTCTTTGAGTAATAATTACCTCTAAGATTGTGTTGTACAAAAACACCGACTTTGATTATGACAGAACTAGCTACATTGATTTAAAAATCTAAACTACTGACCGTTTTTGATAAAATTTCAATGGGACCAATCTGTTAGTATATCCTTTCAGATAAAAGAAATAAAATCCAAATCGGCTTACAACTGCTGGAATTATGAGATAGCAAATAAAAAAATTTATTCGAATTGAGAACCTTTGTCTTTTTGAAATCTGTTGAAAAGTTCCAACTAAATAGTTTTATTTACTGAGAAATCGACTATCAAGCAAAACGTTATCTGATCTTTCTAGATTATTTTGAAACAACAAAAGTGCGACACAATAATAACAAACCAAATTAATACAACATTAATTTCGATGATAAAATAATTTCACCTTTTTATTATATTAATTTTAATAAATGTAAAAAGTGAATTGTATAATGTAGAATATTTATAGAGAAATTTAATATATAAGTACATAATAAAACTATAATTAGATTTACAGTTTCATTTAATAAAATCTCGTAATTAATTACTGCATAATTTAAACATTATGCAGTAGTTACTTTCAATATGGCATGTACCTAATTAAGAGGTATGCCATAACTTTAACTATTCCAAGAACTTCTATGGTACTGGGAAACGTTCATAAAAAAAAACTAGATAGAACGGAAAATACATTGAAATTTGTAATAACATTTTTTACTTTAGGAATTACCACAAAAAACTTGAACTGCGATAGACAGGTGTTCAATATATATTTAGTCGTCTAAATTCGAGAGCGTATTTTATTATTATAATTATGTCTAAATAAGAGAAAATATGTCTTATTAAAAGTAAAAGATACTTAAAGTAATAAATTTATATTAAGTAAAATTATATTAAGTATATGTATTACTATACATTTATACAATAGTTTAAATATTTTAGCACATAAAATTACAAGTAAACATTATCACAACGACTGAACTACAATATATTTAAACACTTGAATAGAGTTTTGTTAAATTGTGTTTACATAAACAGAGTTTTAAATTATTTTTGTAATTAAGTCAACAGGTATGTAGGTATCTTACTCATTTATTTGTGTATAGTAGAAGATATAGAAAATATGAGTAGTACGGGAATCTTCGTGTGTATAGAAGTATAGACACGAGGAATTATTACCCATTAGTAACGACGAGTTACTAACAATCAGTAAGTACGAGAAATTACACAGGAATGAATCAACGTATGCTTGTACTATATAATTATTTTTGCCATATAGTCCCGGCATAAAATAGGCCATCCCTTCCTTTCCCGTGGTTGTCGTAAGAGCCGATTAAGGCAAGGGATGGAAAGCAGTGTCTCTCTTAAAATATCTCCAAAGCCCTGACTGGGGTTGTTAATCCGCCTGTCAAGAGTGGCATTTACTGGCAAAATCCCCCAAGGGGCCTCCCCTTTGGGGGATTTTCCCCTTGGGGGACTTATATTCATTAGTGGACAATTAAAGGCTGATATGATGATGACTATAAAATTGGTAAAACTGAATACAGATGGGACAACTGACCTATCGACAAATTGGATGCCAGCTGTTGTTTTATGATATTAATGTGGCGCCCGTTCGATTCTGACCGAAAAGTTGGCTTGTTGAGCAGAGGTATTTGTATCATATATTTTTTAAATGAATGTTAATGGAATGTCAAGCCCGCCAGCGCTATCGGAATTCACTGGCAGGGCACCAATGGATGATGATAGATGAAGATGAAATCAGGTCATTTGGTTTATTATGACAAATTTACCGTAAATTAAGCATTTTACTACGTTGGTTTTCAGGAAAACATAGAACTAGGTATTGTTTGGAATGAGAGTGGTAGTCCCCATTATATAATAAATAATAATAATAAATAAATTCTTTAATAAAGGTAACTAGAACCCACACAATTTTTGCAAAATATTTTTAATTATTAGGTATATTAATGTATGTTAGCCAGCATGTGAATTATACTACAATAATTCACATACTGGCAGTCTGGACGGTCCGCAAATACCCTAAGGATAGTGTTAGAGCTGGCCCGCATTCTACGCATCAGAGATCCCTAACAACATCCTTATATAACAATCTGCTCGCATCATAAAAACTTTTTTTTTTATTCAACTCAGAATGGGAAATAAATTGACAGCCTACCTGATGGAAAATGGTAACCGTCGCCTAAATACATGAACAGTGGACATTGACATGTATGGACAATTATTTCTAAATAAATAACAAACTGAAACATTAGATAAATTAATAGATTTTTATTTGTATTACAATTAGATATCAATACATTGTTTTATAGTCAACTTAATTGTTTGTTTACATTTTCAATAAGGTCTTTTGAAACATACTAAAAAGTGATCAGTTCTCAGCATACAATATTGGAAGTCGCTCACTTATTTAGTTACGAAATAAAACGATTATTAGTAACAATTTATGTTACAGAAATTGGGAAATATTTACATTACATTTCTTGTTTATTAAAATACATTTTCGTTGTTATTTTGTATAGTTTATATAAGTGATTTTAATTAAGACAATCCTAAGTAAATATAGTAAACAAATCCGCTTAGCCCCAGTATACTACAAGTTTATAAATTCTAAGATTTCATCTGTCTAGACTAAATTAAAAACATAAAAAAAAAAAAACTAAAATTAACTAAATAATTATTACAGTACAGTACAGTTTCCATACATTGATTAAATATTGTAATGTGCTTATTTCACCTATATAGTATATATTCAGATAAAAAATTTGAAAAAATACTCGTCTTTTAAATATCTAACAGAAAGCCGTGTGGTCCCGGCATAGAATAGGCCACCCCTTTGTGTGGGGACATCCATGGGGGATGTTGTTAGAGACGACTAAGGGAACTAAGTCAAGTGATGAGCAACAGCGTCCTCTTGGAACATCATCAAAACCTAACTGCGGCTGCTGACTCGCCTGCTAAGCGCAGCAACTATTGGCCAAACCCCCTTTTCATGGGGGAGGCCTATGTTCAGCAGTCAACGGCTGATATGATAAAAGATATTACGAACAAATTCGCAAACAACAATTTCATGCTAGGACGAATCGATTGATAATGATGTATCATTTATTAAAACTGGTATGTAATTATTAAACAAGATTTATACATATAAAGATTCTATTAATTTAACAGAATATTTATTAAGTAGCTACTTGAGTTGTTGCTCATAATTATAATGAGAACGTACTTGCGAATGATATTACGATACTTAATCATAATGAGGCAAATTGATTAAATTTAAAAAGTACTTACACATGTTAAAATTGTATTTCTCTTATACTGAAGGTGGCCTTAATAAATCATCATGAGTATAATATTTTCATAAAGTCGAGTTATTAAGAAAATTATATTAGATTTTTTTTTAGAAGTAAAATACATAAGCTACGTTTAATGGAATTGTACTCAACTGTAAACCTGCGACTGTGATTTCATACAGCTATGAAGTCTCATATTCAGTTTAAATAGGCAACATTAAAATTATATCATATACTATTCAGTATATTTTATTTATATTAAACCAATTTATAATATTGAATTATTATACTAGTTAATAATAATAAAGTAATTAATTTAATCAGTATTACTCTTTACTCATTCTTTTTTTAATAACTGTGTATCCTTTTATTGTGTAACTAGAGGGATACCTTGTACAAAGGTCGTTTGCTTGGGCACCTCTGTCCCATTCGTGTTTCTACCGTGAAGCAGTTGTGTTTGCATGGCTATGTTTTGATTTGAAGGAAGAAATAACACCTGAGTCCTTAGGAATGCCAACATATGGGGGATATCGTGGGCGAAACAGTGTACTCTGTTATGTCCATGGTACTGCTCATGTCTATAGACGATGGTTACCACTTTCCATCAGGTGAGCCGTCAGCTTGTTTGCCATTTTAAGTTGCATAACAAAAAATCATATAATTTAAAATTTCACTGTATAATAAGAAATTAGTAATCATTTCATTTTATTTTTTAATACAAGAAATGAAGTGTTATTTTACAATTAAAATTTGTTTCAAGCTCTTTTTATTATTTATGTCTATCCATATTATGTAGTAATAAGGACCTTGTCCAAACAAATAGTATTTTTAAGTATACTTGTGTAATAAAATACTGGGCATAACTTTTAACCACTTTATAAGGACTCAGTATTTTATCGCAACTTTGCTTGGGTAAATAGGCAAAGTTGTGAAAACCCTACTTTGTGATAAAATATATTACCTTATAGATAGAGCCTTAGATTATATACCTCAAGATGGCGTATTGAAAGACAAAAACGGTCAGCCAAAAAAGACTTGGCTGACGAGCTTTGACTGTCATTAATAAAGACAGCCATTTTTAATCATTGTGACTTTCATAGTCACATACTCTGTTCCCAGATATCGATCAAAGTAATTATTAAAGTAAGCTTCATTATACCCTGTTTACACCGTTCTTTCAAATATAGACATAAGAATACTGTATTTTATTTTTCCAACTAAACCTTACAATATACATTTCTCCTACTTGCTACGTAGTAATTTGCACGCACACAAGATGTGAAGATTCTTGTGTGCTAAAGTTTAATCAATTGACTTCGAAATGACAGACATTCCAATTATGTTGTATTTTTTTATGTTCGTTACCTCATAATTCCGTCAGTTGTAAACATTTAACGATTTGGAAAATCATTTTTTTATCTAAAAGATAAAATATATAAGATCCGATTGGTTGCATAGAAATTTTCTCAAAATCAGTTCAGTAGTTTTTAAATCGAAATAACTGGTTTTGTCATAATTGAAGTCGGGGTTTTTTTTATAGGATATAATGTAATTTTTTTTAACAAAACGTTGTTTTTGAGATACTTCATCTACGAGTATAGTTATAAGATCCGAAGATTTTGTATATTACTTACCGAGAAAAGTTCACCAAACAGGATCACTTTGGTCGAAGACGCCAGTTCAGGAGGTAATAAACTCTTGCAAGGTGGTTTTCCATATTCATTGATGATCTCACATAATTCTTTCATTTCTGTGCACACTCTGGCTTGAGCTTCGGCTCCTCGGAACTCGGTCATTGAACCAGGGATGGGTCTGCGAAAAAATTGTATTTTTATTGATTTTATAACATACTTTCATTGTCCTAATGTGTAACAAGATGATATTTATTTACTAGTAATTGTCTGCAGAATTACTTGTATGAAATAGTCTTTTTTAGACACTTGGAAATTCTGTAAAAACATTATATTAAGTATGCTCGTATGTTCACACCATCTGGGATCCCTAGAATCTAGGAAATGGGCCTAAAAATGAATAAGAATGAGAAAAGTTCACCTAAGATATGTTATTACTTTGATACTACACTACAAAACAGGAAAATGAACAATAATGGCGTGGCAAACAGACTTATTAAGAAACTTTTATGTTTATGAACTCATATGTGTTCCTATTAAATAGATTTATATTAAAATTAGCATCGACTTCAGTTAATACTTTACTAGTAAAATTTTATATTTCTTCTAAAGAATAGGGTGATAAGCAATAATTTTTATCGTACTTTACGGTTGGATGCACTGTGTTAGCATAGGAGTTTTAAGTTAATAATTTATAAGAGAAATAATGCAGAGGGTAAACGCATCGAATAAAAGACATGGTCAGTGTTGTTTGTGAGATAACTCAGGTGAATTGAATCATAATTTATCTACCTAATTTATAGCATTAATACCCTCTCTCTTATAAGCCATTTCTTTTATAAATATTTACCCCTCTTATAAATGTTTTTTATTAGTTATCGACTTATACATAAACTAAATAACTGAATATTGACCAAAGATTTGATTTTTAGTTTGTATTGGATAATCTCTAAAATACCTAATTATTTCTGAAAATTCTTTCATCTGTACAAAGCTATATTATCAGTGAGTATTAATTATTGTTATTATTGAGAGATGGGCATTCTTCAGGCAGAAAAACCTGTGACATTGCAAACTTTCCATGATCTTTTATGCTTGCCCTTTTTTAAAGTTTGCTACTAATTCTTATCAGTGATAAGAATTTTTAAACGTTCTTTGTAGCGATGTTTTTTATCTCCTTAGGTGATATGGTGTATTTTCCAAAGGAAATATATCGTTATCAGTAACATAGGTGATATTTATTTTTAATTAGAAATGTACATATTTAGTCGCACGAAGTCAATGCGGATTGCTAGTTTCTTATACGAGGAGCATTCTCTAAAAAGGATTGATGATTTCTAATTCAGTCTGTAGAAATATTGATATCCAGAAATGATGAAACTTGTTCGTTCATTTAACTTAACTCTTCATCACTGAATACGTGAAATAAGGATACAAGCATCCAATATTTTAGTCATAACTTTAGAATATCAAACTTGCTAAATTCAATAAGTCGCAAAATTTAATAAGGAACTTCCATGTAAATTGGCACGATCAGTCTACGGAACTTGTTCTATCTAACGATTTCTAGAATTTTCTTGTGCCTCCTGTTGTAATATTCTTACTAATATTATATTATAAATGTTAAAGTGAGTTTGTTTGTCATTTTTTCGTGCCTTAATAGTTTAAATAATTCGTGATACAATTTGGTATACACGTACTTTTTAGGATATAAAAGTGCTACTCGCGCGAACGAAGTGGTCAATGTAAGTTAGACAAATCTAAAAATATTTTTAATTTTAACTATCTATCTATATAAAAATTCATACATACATACATACATATCGCGCGTCTCCCATTAGGGTAGGCAGAAACAATGGAACGGCTTCTTCCACATTCATCAATCTTGTCATACACGCTCGTCGGTTACGGGTACTTTTAATTTGGCCCTTCTTCAGCACGTCGCCTATTTGGTCGACATACGTCCGTCTAAAATTCTTGCTCGATAAATCTCTTTTAATTTTCATCCATCCTCTCCAAATGACCAAACCAACGCAACATTCCTTTTTCGATTTTGGTATATATAATATATAATAAAAATTCATTTACACAATTTTCTGTTGCTTCTTGTACTTTTATTCATCTTAACAAAATATGAATATATAAGCTTATTTATAAGTCCATTTTCTATAAAAATAAATGTTTCATAAAAATACATTTCACATTTACGAATACTAATTCTAAAGAAAGCCTATGTTTTTAACTGACATCAAAATGTAAATGGCACGTAAATTTTTTATCTAGGAATATTGATTTCTCAGAGTCCTCTGGGCGCCTTCTAGTAGTCTACTAGTATATTTCTTTTTAATTTAAATTGTTTAAAAGTGAATTAGTTTTGTGTCATACTAATTTTGTTAAAGTTGAAATCGATTGCATTTGGTTCTGTAATTTAAAATATATGTAGAGTGATATCATCAAAAATCTTATACAGATGAAGTAGAGTTTAGTACTGCAAAGAACGGGCCACCCCTTCCTCTCCTGTGAGTGTTGTACAAAGCAACTAAGGGAACTTAATGATCGAGGAATTTACAGAAGTGTCTTTCTTAAAACATCACCAAAAGCCTAACTGCGGTTGCCTACCCGCTTACCAAGCACGGCAACTAACAACAAAACCTCCCTTTACGGGAAAGGCCTGTGGTCCTTTTAAAGTCCAACAGTGGACAATTAACGGCTAATATGACGATGATGATGATGATTTGCAATCATCATCATCATAAAACAATATGCTATTTTCTAAAAATAGTTAATAAAAATAATGAATATCAAAGATTTATGTTGCAAATAATTATCATAGAAGATATTTTATAACATTGGTTTCTCAGAAACATCCAAAGTAAAAAGACGACATTACTGAGACTAGATTAGAAAGGAGTTTGCCCTTTCTAATAATAAATAGAATATTAGTATGATAAGTCAGATCAGAAGACCGATGAAAGTAATTCATATATTTTATTTATCAGGCTTATTGTTTATATTTTTATAGAAGATTTTTCTTAACTTTAATATTAATTAATTAATATAGCGCTGAAAACTCTTTTTATTTTTTTTATTTATTTTTTTATTTATTTATTTATTTATTTATTTTCTCCACAAATCTTACAGAATGTTACATGAAAAAATACAACTATATATGTATGTATAATTAAAGTGGTCTGTAAAACTTGTGGGAGACTGGACCCTAAACTAGATCAGAGATCTGTATCTCAGGAATCCAGGCCCCCAACTCGGACACCATGTACAGCTTGCATTAAGCTAAAATTAAAATTTGTGAAAACGAATATACAAAATAAAATGTGTGTGTGTGTGTGTGTGTGTGTGTGTGTGTGTGTGTGTGTGTGTGTGTGTGTGTGTGTGTGTGTGTGTGTGTGTGTGTGTGTGTGTGTGTGTGTGTGTGTGTGTGTGTGTGTGTGTGTGTGTGTGTGTGTGTGTGTGTGCGCGCGCGTACGTGTGTGCGTACGTGTGAGCGTGCGAGTGTGCGTGTGCGTGCGCGTGTGCGTGTGCGTGTGTGCGTGTGCGTGTGCGTGCGCGTGTGAGTGTGCGTGTGCGTGCGCGTGTGCGTGCGTGTGTGTATGTGTGCGAACGTGCGTGCGTGCGTGCGTGTGTGTGTGTGTGTGTGTGTGTGTGTGTGTGTGTGTGTGTGTGTGTGTGTGTTACTGTTTAATTTCCATAATCTTTTCCGTTTCTTGGTAACTAAGGGAACTCAAATATTGAAATAACTTTCTCTTTAATATATATTTAGTAGTATTGTATATGTTAATTTTTTTGTTTATATGGTTATATATTCTACCTGCACGGAAATATAAAAATTTTTGAGCAAACGTTGTCTTCACGGAGGTAGATCTACCCAAAGCATAATTTCTTCTACTCATTAAAATATTTTTACTTGTGTTTATACTTAATCTTGTATGTTGATAACGCGCAACATATAATAAGTAAAGCTGTCTAACTGTAAGAAATCCCGCATCTTTATATAATTGATCAGTAGGATATAGTTTAGTTTTAAATAGACATACTTTTAAAAGCATTCTTTGCGCTCTTTCCAACTCCAGCAGAATGTATTTGGGCGATCCGCCCCAAATTTTAATGCAGTATGTTAAAATAGATTCCACTAGTGCAAAATATATTATTTTCATAGTGCGTTTATCTGCAATACATCGGAGGTATTTAAACAGGTAAGTCAATTTTCTAATTTTTTGTGATATCATGTGTATATGATCATTAAATCTAAGCTTTCTGTCTATAATAACACCCAAGTATTTTATATTATCAACCAATGTGAGTGTTGGGCATGTACATTGAACATTAAAATCAAAAGAACAGTTATGAGCAATAAGGGGAAAAGCATCTAGATTACTTTGTTGATTTTTTATTGTATATATCATATACTTGGTTTTACCAGCATTCAGTGATAACTTGTTATGAGCAAGCCAAAGACAAACAGTCGTAAATCCATTTTGTGCTATATATTTAAGCTCTTCCCAAGTTTTTGCATAGAATGTTAGTGCAGTATCATCTGCATATGTGGTAACTCTACAATTCAATAAGTTAAGTTTACAGAGATCGTTTATGTAACAGAGAAAAAGTGTAGGTCCTAAAATACTCCCTTGTGGCACGCCGTAAATAACAGAAGCTTCATTACTAATTAACTCTCCAATTTTAACACATTGTGTTCTGTCAGTCAGGTAACTTGACAATAATGTAAGTGGAGTGCCACGTATACCCAGAAGTTCCAATTTATTAAGGAGGTGAGGAACAGACACAGTATCGAAGGCCTTAGCAAGATCGATAAATATTGATAAACACTTCCTATTTTTATCCAAATGTTGTACCACAAATTCGGTCAAGGCTTGTACTGCATCATCAGTCGATCGACCAGAGCGAAAACCATACTGAGTATCAGCTAATAATTTATATTTTTCTAAATATTTCAAAAGTCTGGTATTAATGATACGTTCAAATATTTTTGAAAATGTATTGAGAATCGATATTGGACGATAGTCATTTACTTTAGACCTATCTCCTGCCTTAAATATTGGGAGAATAATGGATTTTTTAAGGGCTCTTGGAAATATACCCCTCTCTATGCATCTATTAAACAGATCTGCAAGAACAGGTGATATCAAGTCTGCAATTGACTTCAGTGCTTTCGCACTAATAAAATCCCAGCCAGGTGAGCAGTCACTTTTTAATCCATTAATAATTTGCTCAACCTCTGTGCTGTCTGTAGGCAAAAGTATAAACGAATTTGAAGTCCCTGGCGAATTCTTTGACATAGATATTGTTTGAGAAGATACATTTATAGGAATATTTTCAGCTAATCGTTTTCCTATATTGGCAAAGAAGTTATTTATCTCATTTATAGAGTTCGAAGTATTATCTGTCAAAAGTTCGTGTGGGACGGAATTTTGAGTATTAATATGAGTCACTGTTTTAATTGTATTCCATAACTTTTTTGAATTGTTTTTAGAATTTAATAGTTGATCGCGTTCATACTGTTTCTTTAATTTTTTTAACATATTATTACAATAATTTCGATAGCGGATATACGTTACTTTTAAAATGATATTGTTCGGTTATTAAAAACAAATAACTGAAATCTGTTCAAAATTAGAAAATAAGTATAATTTATAGATATATAGACAGAAAAAATATGGTTTAATGAAGATTTAAATACCTTTTTCATTACTAAAAAAAAGGGATAGTTAACAGAAATATGTTAGGCGGAGTACCGATTACGGATAGGAAAAAATATTTCTCAAGTAACAACCCCATAAAGGCAAACTCAATAAAGAATGCAGTTGATTCAGGACTATCTCTTTCAAGACAAGGAAGGCTATATTCTATGGTGGACTATAAATTACTGATGATAATGTATACATAAGTATCTGTAATGTTGAACTCACTTGCCGTATTCATCTTTAGAGAATGTAGGCTTATGATTTTTGTCGAAATGCCCGCTGAATGCTGTCACCTTCTGTAGGTCGCTGTGTGCTTGCGCTTTTGTGTCGAATGCGGAGATTAAGTCTGTTAGCGACGAACTCTGTAAATAAATAATTAAATATATAATTATATTTACAATCCCTTAACAATATTAAAGTTATTTGTATTATAATATTGGCTGTGTAGTCCCGGCATAGAAGGAGCCAGCCCTTTCTTCCCCATGGGTGTCGTAAGAGATAATTAACGAAATTTAATTGTCGAAGAATGGACAGCAGCATTCCTCTTTAAACATCACTAAAGCCTAACTGCGGTTACCAATCCGCCTGACCAACGTAGCAACTACGGGCAAGATCCCTCATTTTGGAGGAGGCCTGTGTTCAGCAGTGGACAGTTAATGACTGACATGATGATGATGATTAGTGATATAGAAAGAAACAGTTTAATTCCGGTCTATCAATATATCTTGGTTATGTAAATTAAATCGTGGATAAAAATTAGTTTATTTATATATTTTTCTAAGCAACTTGGAACAGCATACATACTGGCAGCCCACCTGATAGCATCTGGTAATAGTCACCCGCACAGTATTATGCATATCCGAGAACATAATCTTCAAGACACCTCATTGTCATGTACTTTGTAATTTCACAACCATATCCCACCCTTCACATCGAAACACAACCATAACAGTTATTGAAATGGACACAAATACGAGCAGAATAACGATACCCATGCAGATTTCTACTTTTAAACAAAGTAACATATCTTCAACAGGATATATAAATAAAAATTAATCAGTATTGCTGTAAGCGATAATATGTACTTTGAGCTAAAGTGTGTAAAAATAAAGACAAAAAACTCTTTGTGTAAACGTAGTCTAAACATAATACTTTAATATCACTTCACAAACATTTGAATATTCAGAAATTCTCCTAATAAATAATATTGATAAAAAATTAAAATGCAGTATGTTATTTTAGTATTTATTATTTTCTATTTTAAACTTTTTTAGATGTAAAGTAACAAAAAATATACATAAAAATAAACAAGAAAAACAGCCACAAGTCGTCTGCGTAGGTGGAGAATTTAATAACTTAGTTTTTTATAGTCTTGATATAAAATGTAGTATTAAGACAACCTAAGTTATATTTTTCATTTAAATTATCTTTCAGTTGTTAATTACTAAAAAAAAAAAACAGAGAAAAAATTGTAAATTGATTATGTCGAAACTAAAGAACTGAATTATTTTGAAACAATTTAATTCAATTTTTTAGTCAGCACCATTGGCTGGTATTTTTTATAAGTTTAGATTTAAAAAGAAAAGTATAAAAAAGCGTAGGTTTCATGCTTATTATTGACAGTCTGTTGATCATTTCCATTCATATAATACCATTATTGACGTCTGAAGTACTGAATTAGTTAAGTTTGAATCAAAATTACGACTCATTCCGGGAAATCTGTGATCTCCAAATGTCCCTCAAAAGTTATTTTATAAACATTTATTTTAAATACGTGGCAATTTTTAGAGTAGTAGTTAATATTTCCATAACTTCAAAACTTGATGTTACAGCTATTAAAACTATTAAAATATTATCATTATATTGTAATAGTTATATGGCCATTAAAAAGCCTGTGCATGATTGACTAACATCATTCAAGTAATCGTTTAGTGTGTAAAAGGCTTTGTTCAATAAGTGTTTTTAATGACAGTTTTAATTTTATTAAAAGGTAAATCCAAAATATCCCTCAGTATCTTATTTTAACATTTATACCAGAATAACATTTAATTAGAATAGCAAATTTGAATTTGTATATAGTGATAAGATTATTAAGATGGATGATATCACATGATTATTATATATCAATCAATACGTAAAGTTTATTAAACCTTTTATTAAGAATTAAACTGAAATCCATTGAAAATTATACATGTTTGTTTTACTGCTAAAAGTTATAAAGTTTAGCTTAGATACAAATTGATAAATATTATATGTATTTCGTTGGAACTAAACTATTTGACTTCATTTTGGATTTAGATAATCACGAAAACAAACTAACAAGACACAAACTTGAGTAAGTAATTAATTGGGAAAATGAGAACATTTTTGTAATTAAAATGTTATAGTTTCAAATACTATACTAATATTTTGTATAATTTTCTCATTGAATACCTCGTCGATATTTTATTCATAAAATTAAAGATGGAAAAAAGTTTACTTCTACGAAACTCGTTAATCTAAGATATATATTTATTTTTAAGATTACAATTAAATTTACTAATTCATTCCTGGAATATGAAAATCAATAATAACAAAATTAATTTTGTAATAAACAATTACAAAATTAATAATGGTGCATTCAAATTCGATAAGGCAACTGAAACCAAACTTTAAAGAAGTGTCTAGACTAGGTACTTAGATCATTATTTAATAATAAAACATTTCTATGTCTATGTTAATATCCGTAGTAATATTAAAAAAAATCTTTGAACAGTACACAATTTAGAGCTTACTTTGTGTTATTGATAACAGTTTTATTTTAATCGCAGAAATTCCATTCTATTGTTAACTGGTGTTTTAAAACGTTTTAGCGCAAATGTTAGACACTTTTGATAAATCAATAAAAGTTGGCACCAGACACAAAGGTGGATGCGAAAATAAATGTCGCTTAGAACGGCTTTGTCTCAGACAAATAATGGATATAGGCGAAACACGTCTAAATATAAACACTGACTTTCAGATCATAGATGTAGTATGAACTCACGTACTGACAGATTGGAATGAAACAAAAAAAAAACAAGAAATTCGAGTTTAATATAAAAACCTGCACTCAGAATTTGCAAGATGTTTTGATTGAGAGATAGCATTTATTTACATATTTGTTAATATTTTGATTATCATTTGTCGATTGTAGGCACTCTCTCAAAATGGGTCTCATATATTTAATTGTACCTTAAGCTGTTACTTTTTACTACCTTTTGTGAAGATAAAATAAATCATTCATTTATTTAGAATTTTATTCGAATTACATATGTGCTATACTTTTTCTAACAATGTATGTACAATACAAATGTATTGTATAAGGGAAAAGGAGAATGTTAGTAATGGGGTCTAACTGCCTTGTTGTTAGCAACACACCCTATCAGGTCGACCTCCACGTGATTACTCCTGGAAATCATCATGATTAATTCTATGAAATTCATCACTATGGGCTAACTGACCTGCTTTCATCGTCACCTATTATCCTTCACTGGTGCTCCGCCAGCATATACCGATAGCGCAAACGAGGTTACTATTTTATTATCACTCCTACAAAAATGTATGGTTCTGTAAGTTTAAATTTAATATAGCGTAACGTTATAGGTTTAAGTAATTCCAATTGGATAGAGTTGTATGCAAAAGCCAGAAAATTACATAATTTATACGTAAGTATATATAAAAATTATTGTAGTTTAAAACATATAAATAATTAGAATTTGTTCTTAACTTCCATCAAATATTTTGGAGCCCATATTGTGTACAATATTCCTATCTATCTTGAATTAACATATATGTTACCTTTTGTTCTCTTTTATTTTACCAATTTTTAATACATTTTTCATATTTATTTATTGCCTACGTGTACGTTTGAAAAGTCACCTCACTACTTTTTGTTAAAAGCACGATGCCATTGCAAATGGGTCATGAACGCGTCGTAAACATATTAAAGTTTCATCAAAACTATCAACAGTAAGGAACTTTTGGCAATTGTGATTATAATAATAGATCTGTTTCTCTGAGGTGAGATAAATATGATGCTATAATCCCTCTTCCGTAAATATTTTACAGTATAAATAATTTATTTTTATGAACATTTCTTGTTTCCTTCAAGGTAAGTAGTAATGTTTCTTCAGTAAGATAATAACTGAATCTAATTTTTTATTGATGTCGATAATATATGTGTTTAATATTTAAAAACTAAACTACTAAATCGAAGTTGATAAAAATGTTATGACTTGTAAGTATACACTTTAAAGATAAAAAAAGAATAATCCAAATCAATTTATAACTTACGAATTTTTAAGGTAACAATCATAAAAAATGTACAACCGAATTAAGAATCTCCTTCTTTTTGAAATCCTTTGAAAATATAATGAAAATTTATGACAAGAGATTATATAAATTTTATTATATAATAATATTAATAATGTGACAGAAGTAGATAGTATATTTAAAAAAAAAACAACGTATTTATTTACACGACGAGCGCTAATAAAACCACTTTATTGCAAACATGAAAGAAGTTATGGATACTTTGAGAGTTTCCATTGTTTGAAATTTTGTTGCCAGATGAATGAAATCTGTTTACGTAAAATTTTATTTCGAAGAAGATGTTTTAATGTTGATTCTCAATTTTTGATTTCTCTAAATATTTATGTTTTCCATCTGCAATTTGTCTTGGTATTAAATCGGAGGGTTAAATTCTACTGTAAGCCTTTACGACCTCGTTGACTGGTTATTAGGAAAAAAAATATAATGAACGAGCCTAAAAAAAGATTGATAGACGGATTTAGTTCGTTTGAATTTTAGTAAAATTTTATTAGCCCTTAACAGTAATTTACTTGGGTATATTATTTTAACGTATGTAACTATATTAGTGTATTCCGTAGCTTTGTCAACATAAATGAATATATGAAGTTCTCTGTATATAACTTTCGTGTACCAAACTTCATTCATATACCTTCACAAAATTTGTTATTTGTTATAGTAATAGGATTTGGTTCTTAGCTGTTATTATTATTTATTGTTACATTAAAAATTTGTTAGAAAGAGAGCCATGTATGAACAAGAGCCAATATCGATGGTAAAGGTCATAAGCTCGAATTCAGTTAACACTAAATCATCATCATCCTAACAGCCATTAACTGCCTACTGCTGAACATAGGCTTTTTTCATAAAAGGAGTTCGTCAATAGTTGTCACGCTTGACAGGCAGTTGCCACAATTATCGTTTGGTGATGTTATAATATCAAATACTTTGTATCAATTTATTTTACAAAATAATCTCCACCAAGCGTGGCAACTACTGCCAATACCTCCTTATGAGAGAAGCTTGTGTTCAG